AAAGTCCACCTGAAACTTTACTTTAACACAACAACTGGGTTCACGTCCAGTTAACTCAACCTGAAACTTGTTAAAAACAAGACTGATGTTTCGTGTCTTATAAAATCATTCTAACTCTAGTTCCACATTCAGTAACATCCTAAAACTTTTCCGTAAAATCACAGTTTGATTCCTGAACGTGACCGTCAGGGCATGTGCTGGTAAAAATCCACCGGAAACAGTTCAGTCTAAGGCCGTTTCCACACCCGGTGAAAACACCGTAAAGTCCTTTTTAACTTGTTGTATTTTAATGTTCAGTAAATTCATTTGAAAACTTTTCTTTGAGACGAAAGCAATGGCTCTGAAAGTGACCAAGCTGTTGTACTTCCGGTAAAAACCCACCTGAAACTCTACAAAACTTTCAGTAAAGTCCTAAAACTTTTAGTATTTTTATTTTATGAGAGACGTGACCATCCAGTCAGGTTTCACCTTCCACATCCGGTAAAAGTTTAACAAATTTAAAACAATCTCTTTTTCCAAGAACTGTGCATCTAAAGTCACACAAACACGCCTCAGTATAAAACATCTGTAATTACAACTTGTCCTGTAAATAAACAACCTGAATATTTTAAATTTTTATGAACAGAAACTATAAATTATAAGGATAGCCTGATCTGGACTGATTTGTTCCTCTGTACATTTTGAACAAATCCTGTTTAAATGATGTGACGTCAACTAAACCTGCAGCCAAACTTTAAAAAAAAAAAAAAAAAAACTTTGTAAGTAGAAGTTGAGTTTTAACAAAAACTGACTCTTTCTGCAAACTGACCATCTTTTATCCGCTTATTAAATGGTTTTTATGTTAAAAAAATATAATAATAATAAAAAATTTTTAAAAATCTGCGATTTCAGCTTCAACAAAAACAGCATGAGCACAGCAACAACCTCAGATTATCCAAACAAGAACCGGCGAGATTATCTGATCAAATGTTCAGCAGCTGACAGACTATGAGGCGTTTAAGGTCAGTTTTAACAAATGGAAATAAGAATGATTTCATCAAAAAGGTTAAACGTAAAAAAATAAAAAATAAAACAACTTTAATTCAGTCCCAATAATTAACGCGTGAAGGATATTTTTAAACATTTGCTCCTAAATTGAACAAATCTGGATACAATCAGAGATCTGAACTCACTCTCATCCTTTTACACACATTTTGTTTATATTTTATTAATTTAAAAAGGAGATAAAATCAGAGTTTGCTCTAAGACGCAGCGTCCGTTCGTTCTGTTCTGACGTGTTTATTCAGTTTTAGCATTTTATACACTTTAAACCTTTAAATCTAAAATTATCACTGCAATAAAAAAATCTTATTAAATTAAAAAAAAAAAGAAGCCTCTGGTTCAAATTTTAAAATTTATTTACCTTCACGTTTCATTGTAACCATAAATCTGCTCACAGTTTGTGGAAACTTCAACTTAAGTTGTGATTTTGTTTGGAAAATAAAAAGCCCAAATTGATTAAATGAGAAGAGATGTTTCGGATGAACATCTGGACAGATGTCCAGTTGTTGCAGAAATGACATAACGTGTCACAGAAGTTATTTAAGAAAACAGCAATAAAATAATCCAGTAAATGGCTCAGTTTTCTGATCATTTCTGGACTTTAGTCATCTTCAGAGTCGTAACGTTCCTCCAAACTGTTTTGTCCGTCAGTAAAACGACGTTTAAGGGAGAGAAGAAAAAAACGGAACAGGATTATAACCCTTCGTGCTCCATTTTAACAACGTACCGTTTCCATTTGGAATATTTGAGATTTTACTCTGATTTGAGGTTTAAAAACACCGTTTGTCCTCGACGTGTTTTTCTCCTCTGTGATGGCAGGCGTTTACAAAATGTCCCAGAAGAAGAGTTTTCACTTTTAAACCGAAGCTTCGATTAATAAAATTAGGATAATCTGTCGGATATTTTCCTAAACCAAACAAAAGGTTCTTTAAAACTTTAAAAACTGTGTCGAATTCTCCATAAACTAAACAAATGCAGGAAACAGCAGCTCGTATTTCTTTAACTTTTTACTTTGTTTTTTATATAAAAATGAAGAAATAAAGTAAACGATGTTGATGAAAAGAGAAAACTTTATTTATGTCTCATTTATCTTTAAATAAAACTGTTTAAAGCCAGATCAAAGGTCACATCAGTAAAAGCAGAAATCTGAGTCAGCTCGTCGAACCCACCTGAAGATCCCAAAGGGATCCAGAAAGCTGCTTCGGTTCTGAAAAAGGAGGATTTACGGATCAGAACGAGAAAACTGGATCGATCGGTCCAGTTCTGACTTGATTTTAAATATAATCCAGAACAATCTGTGTTCTGATCCTTCGTTTGGAAAACAGGAAGTCTGATTCAGAAACCATTATTGATTGTGTTGATGGTTTTTAGGTTCCAGCTTCTTGATGCTGATTCACAACTGATATTTGTCCATTTTAAATCTTTTTTTACTTAAAAACTATCCTTTTTTACTTATTTATTTAAAACTGCCATCACTTCCTCTCAGATCAGACTGATGGGTTTGTTGGATCCTCCTCTTCTTCTTTCTGTTAGTAAAAAGCTTTTACATAAAATCCTAATTCTGAGCTGAACACAGAAACACCAAGATTCATAATCTGTCAGGATTTACAGACAGAGACACTGTCCAGATTCACCTGTCCACACCCGATTCACTTTCACATTAAAACCAGATTTATTTGCTGCTGAAACCAGATTAACCTGCTCATTAAAACCAGATTCACCTGCTACTAAACCGGATTTACCCGCTACTAAAACCAGATTTACCCACTACTAAAACCAGATTTACCCGCTACTAAAACCAGATTTGCCTGCTACTAAAATCAGATTTACCTGCTCATGATAACCAAATTCACATGATTATCAAACCAGATTAGCCTGCTTATTAAAACCAGATTCAACAGCTGTTGAAACCAGATTCACCAGCTTATAAAACCAGATTCAGCAGCTTATAAAACCAGAGTCACCAATTTATTGAATCACATCCACCTGCTGGTAAAACCAGATTCACCTGCTCATTAAAATCAGGTTTATCCATTCATTGAAACCAGATCATATGCTCATTAAAAAAAAAAAAAAAGGATCACCTGCTCTTTGAAACCAGGTCCACCTGCTGGTAAGACCAGATTAAACTGCTCATTAAAACCAGATTCACCTGCTCATTGAAACCAGATTCACCTGCTCATTGAAACCAGATTCACCTGCTCATTGAAACCAGATTCACCAGCTCATTAA